AACAGCCCCAGCCCTGACCCCGGCCTGCCACAGACTCGCTCTGGTCAAAGCAGACCGGCCCCACACCTGCTCTAGACTCACCTGCCCATGCTGAGCAGTGTCCGTGGCCAGGCATGAGCTGCTGCTCAGCACGAAGGAAAAGTAGTTCCTCCCCACCACCATGGCAGGCTCTTCCTGCAGCTTCCCAGAGCCTGTGCCTGGGCTGCCCTACAGCTCCTCTGCACTGCCACTGTTGCCCCACTGGGCAGCCCGAAGGTGGCAGCAATGACAGTAGAGGGGAGCCGCAGGGCAGCCCGGATGCAGGCACTGGGTGGCTATAGCAAGAAGGCCCCTGCAGCAGCGAGGGGGAGGGGCTGCTTTTCCTCCATGCCAAGTAGCAGCTTCTGCCTGGCCCCTGCTGCCACTGCCCAGCATGAGCAGATGTGTCTGGAGCAGGCGTGGGCTGGGCTGGGGTTGGGGCTGTGTGCACGGGTTCTGGCTGGTCCAGAGCTGCCCACTCCATGGGTCAAAATGAGGTTGGTGATTAATGCTTTAATTTGCTTTTGTATTAATCACACAAGTCACCAGTTCCCAAACTCTGACAGGTTGCGCCCCACCAATTTAAAACGATACAACCTTAAGTACCACAAGCAAATGTTTTGGCTCAACCTTAAGCACCACCAGCAAATTTCTGCCATATAAAATAATACATTTTTGTCATGTAATTTTAATAAATCTGTTAACGTGTACCACTGACAGGTTGTCCGTGTACCACTGACAGCAGGCATACCACAGATTGGAAACTGCTGGCATAAATTAACTGCGATTAATTGACAGTCCTAATATTGAGATTATTTAGGTGCCTTGTGGCTGCTCACACAGTACTGCTCACAGTACGGCCACTGGTTAGAAGTCACTAGCCACATCATCAGCTGTTGTGATACATCAATGAGAATAAATTAAAAGTATTTACAATTATTTCCCCATATTCATTTGACCTTTTCATTATAGGGGCAGTTCAAAGCTCTGATATGATCAGAGAAGTGACTTATGAAAATTATATTTTAATGAGACTGTTACAACACCTAGTTTTTACATGGTTTTTGAATTTCAAAGACTTGTGAATATTCTGAAGAAAGGACATTTCTTAAAAATACCAGCTGCATCAACTCCTCAAATAAGGTATGAAAATATAGAAATAGATGTCCCCAAGATACCTACAATAAAGTCTTGACAGACTCAATATTTCCAAGACAAAAACAGTGAAACTGAAACCCACCCTCCCCCTCAAACTTCAGGCATCTTTACTTATCAAAAAAATGCAGACACGTCATTAGGCCATTATAAAAATCCATTCCAGGTAACCTTTAAAACCTAGGTTTTGGCTCCAAACTAATACAATTTGAAAAAATGCTACCTTCAATGTAATGTTAACTGCTACTTCCACAACTGAAGGTAGAAAGAAGACGACACAGGGAGGTCTGATTAACACTATCACAGACCTGCAATACCACTACAATTAGTCAATTCTGGAGCACAAATTGGTACAAAAAAAAAAAAAAAAA